CTTTAAATACCCTTTCTGTCTCTACCAGTAAAAAAAGTATTGTATAGTATGGTAAAGTAATGGTAAATTAACTGTTTCTGGGTGTGACAAGTTTACATGAAAAACAAAATAAGCTAAGCTTTTTCTCCCTTTTCAACTTTGAAAACCCCTAGTCCTGCTACAGAATCGTGTATCGCTCTCTGCCACCTTCTGGGCAGACTGGGCTGAATACCTCTGATATCCCAACTATGCACTCCCGGGATCACTGTAGCGCACTCGTTACATTGGCGCATCCCGCTCAACGCATATCTAGTGTACCATGCATGTTCCCGTATTCTCAGTGGGTCACGGGTCTTGGTGATTGCGAATGCCCAGGGTCTCGACCGCTTCAACGAGCGGGGGCGAATCTGCTCGCGGGGCAGTAAATCGACCCGCAAGTGTCATGGCTCGGCTTGCGCCATAGGAGAAAGTTCATCATTTATTTTGTGGTTAGCGGAAGCCTTATGGTAATTGAGGGGCAAGTAATCGAAAACTCAATAACATCGATCCTCCCTCCTTGCTTCCCACAGATTATCCTACGAAGAACCAAGGCTATTTCACACACCGACGTGAACAATTCTCTCGAAGAAGCAAAACAAACCCCCACGGAAATGATTCTGTTAAACACCTTTTTCACTTCAGGACGGATTGGAACTGTTTTCACTAATGACCTCCAATTATACTTGCAGTGACGCCTGGCATAGTACTTTTATCACTCCCATCTGTATTCGATCCAGTTCAATTTGCAGTGGAATTTGGGAAAAAAGAGGCAGAGATGACTGCATTCCTCAATAAGTTCTTGAAGTCGACTTCGCTGTGCTTGAAAGTCTGGTTGTAGAGAAAGCAATCTTTTAGCACAGCAGTGGCTTCACTGGTAGTCTTGCTGATCCTGTCGCTTTCATGTAGGGCAATCAAGTCAAAATCCAGTACCGTTGGAAGGCCATAGTCCCTGTTCTTTCAATATAACTTTAATACTCTTTTGCTTACCCCATAAGTGTTCTGGGACAGCTTCATCCTCAGTGATATTTATTGGCTATTTAATTAGTTGAAAGCCATCCATGTAGTAGAACTAGCCATTTCTAAGTTGTGGTTGCTTTCCTCATGGATCACGGTTTAGCTTTTGAACTCAGAGCATATCAGAAGTATCTGCTGTATGAGAAGTTGTATGATTGAAGAGAAATAGTGCTTGGGCATGGAGAAAGATTGTCTCCAATATAGGTATTGCAATAGCTGAGACATGAAGAATTAGATTCTATCTCTTCTACCAAATGCCATTGCCACACTGAATATACTCCGTAGCTTGTCATAGATTTGTTTTTAAACTAGAAACTGGTTCAAGCTTTCTTATTAAGAGTGAATGCAGAAGATCGCTGGTATCTATAGTAGGAGGTACCTTCAACCGACTACATGGTAATAAGAAGTCTGAAACTATTAGTCCCTTTCCTTGTAACTTTTTTCATATCATAGTGTTTTCTTTAAGTACCGATCACTGATGTACTTCGTCGTTTAAGTTGAACATACACTCATCGTGAGCGATTGGTATTAAAACTCTCTTTGTCCCACTCCCAAAACCTGTGGCATTATGTTTCCACAGTTATTCTAGACTGGTATCCACAGACTAAAATCTTGCTTTGTAGTGAAAAACTCATTATTTCTATAGTCTCAAACCTCTTCTTATGCCTATCAATATAGATCCCTTTCTGAACCTCTTTCTACTCAAATCTCAATTTGTGTAACCATCTTACTGCAGTACTCGATACTAGTAATAAGTTTCTCTTTTTGGACTTCTTGTGAAGTAAGAATTCTTCAATCCATCTAACTTATTGAGCTGCATCGAGGTCACTAGTTCTTGAACTCCAATAGTTTCGAACAGCATCTGCAAGCCCCGTAGATGTTATTTCTAAAGTCTCATCTCTTTTAGTAACTACTACAATCTTTAAATATGTACATACTTACGTTCACTATTTATGCTTAAATACTGTTAGGCGGAGACAACTTGATAGACTTCAAGGTAGTATAGGCCAATTGAGATTCGTTTTTGTAGATGGATATTGTCTAGGAAGGCTCAGACATTACTCATTTCGTTTATGACTACTAGCAGCAAAGTAAAATAGGTAAAGTAGGGTAGAATCGTAAAAACAATATGATATTGTTAAGGTCTCTTCTCCGTTGCTTGATGATGTCTAAAGCTTGGGAGGCACTTCGATATTTATATTCCGCATCTGAGTGTTGGCGGACTACATCTATTTATCATACAACTATGTACTTCTTCAATCGTAATTCGCGACGTCGAGTTTTCTTCCAAGTTGTGAACACCTGTGGACTCTGAAAACCATTACATCCTCTTCAGTAATTACAATATTTCTTTTTAGGAAGCGTACTGTCCCCAATAGTAATATCCCAATTAGAAGAGTCTTTAGACTTATGCCCTAGTTCTTAAGTCGAACTGAGTTGGCTCCAATTGTCTTCGCCATTGATAAAATGATTATTTTTATCCACAGCTATATCTGCAAAGGTGGTCATCTTTACAACTATCGTAGGCCGTCTGACTCCGATACTTTGTAACTCCATACCTAACCGATAGATTTTCTCTGGATAACTTCCTATTAACTCACAGGAAGCTATTCCACCAGATTGGTAATTAATCCCTCGGTCCGCAATCCTTGGTTGCTCTCTGGGTAGTAGGTTTCAGTAACCATTGTAGTATTGGAAATCACTCCATGACTACGACGTGTTCCAAAACCCAGTTGCAATACTCCGTGAAGTTTGTTGGCTTCTTTGGTAGTGTCTTTTGGAGTTCTAGACTCTTCTGGTGAATGTAAATGTATTGGTCTCTGGTAGAGATCCTTTACCATTTGATACCATCTCTTTGTGCGAAATCGTCCTGTTACCCATGGCCTATGCCAAAGCTGTCATATCTTTGAAGCCAAGTAACTCTCTGAGTAGTTGACGGAATTACTCTATTCCACTTCCCAGACATAGCCGAAGGTCCCCACTCATATACCCTGCAAACTGGATCAGGTCAGACAGACAGCGACAACGTATATGGTGTTATTCTAACACCTTCAATTCTGTGGTAATATAGTCACAGGACGCAACTGGAATTAATATATATGATGATGCGCGGGCCCCGTAAGGGAGCCGGAGGGGGGTGTTGGAGACCAGAGATTCCAATTCCGAGTGGGGTTACCCTACTTAGGGTGGTTCCTAGGTATCGGGTTCTGGTATTCCTAACAAATACTCTCTTATAGCAAGCAATGTACTCTTATCATTTAGCATAGAATTTACTTTCATATGCTTTCCTAGCCAGCTTCCTTCAATTTGCTACTATGTTACTCAGGACCATTCAAGCCATAAAATCCACTCAGCAACAACTTTCCCATGACCAAACACGATTGCAACATTTATCACAACTATCTTTTGAGAAATATTTGGACGCTTAATTTGCCAAAACATAAACTGAAGTACTTGATGATACTATATAAGTGTACTATCACTTGGAACTCTTTTCTTAAGTACTAAAACTCACTTCATATTTTGTATTGCTATATGTAATTTCAAATTTGCTTTTATATATAAATAGATTATTTTAAATTATGTATATATAATAGAAATATATACCTTTATAAAGTATGACTTGCTTTACTTCAATATTGACTCAGGGCTATCACCTTAGTGCCACATCCTCCTTACTTTCCTCCACTTCAAAATCTGTATCATTGGAGTTTTCTAACTTGGTACTTATTAAGCTTACATTTTCTCCTATTGGAGTTCTTGTATCTATCTCTCTATTAACTTATATCATATTATTATAAATCTAGTAGCTCTTCTAACCTTTATTGAAAACTTGATTTATATTTCGTTGTCTCCACTGTTGTTTTTTATGTCGCCAAAACGTTGTTCATAAGAGTTTCTGAGTTTTTTTTATCGATTTTTATTTTTTTACTAAGAGATTCCACAGGACTATCTGCTAGCATGATGCTGGTACTGCCTCCTACTTGGTGCCTCTCAGTATCTATACAGTCATTGATTAACTTTGATGTTTATAGGAGCTTAAATCATGTAAATGACTTGAAGTAAAACTAGATTAGAATAAACTTATGATTGGACCTTCTATCTGTCTCCATACTATCCGTTCTCCTTTTAGCCTTCCCACCTCTCTCACTCAATTCTCTCAAAAACTTTCTTTTTCTTGATAGTTTTCCCATTCAAAATGATAAAAGATGTTGTTTCCCATTGCCCGGTTGATACAAGCATAGTTTTTATGGCATTTCTGATGATAATCATCATTACTATGTACTTTATTTCAGCTCCCTCTTCTCAGCGTTTCTCACAGACTACTGTGCAGTATTTTTGAGTACATGTTTCATCCTCATACAAATTCTCTTTTCAATTCTGCCTTTTTTAAATTATTTATTGGAAAAAAAAAGCTTGAGAAAACAAATATTGTCATTTCAGATACTCCCACGCTTTTTGTTCTTGGATATATGTTGTTTTGGGGAACTTATTTAATTGCCGGTTTGTATGTAGTTGGGTGGACCAGGTTTCACGAAAGTTGAACCATAGATAATATTATCCACACCATGTGACGAATGTTTGCATGTGTAATCTTCAAAACATCCGAAACGTAACCGCCATATCCTCACCTTTTACCATCAAAACTACAAAGATTGCGTGGGCGGGAGGCTCTTGCGGAAGAAGCCGGGACATAAGATAACGTAAATATTACCAGTAATATGTGATCGTTATCCTTAAAATTCGGATTGGAAGGGAATCTTGGCCAGGATTCGCCAATTGGATGCCGGCTGCCGGTATTCACTCGCTCACTACCATCTGGGTTAGAGGTAAATTTAGATCGACTTCAGTATGTTTGGCCTTTGACGGTGGTCTTCCAACGTAGCCTGTTGGCGGCATTCGTTGGTCTTCCATTACGTGGAAAACCTCCGAGTTATGTCTTTTTTTCTTCGCCATGTATCACAAACTCCACCGCAGAAAAGGGATGTTAATTCAATTTTTAAATATCCATTTTATGCGAGAATGAATCTCAGTCACAGCTTTTGTAAATCCATAATCCCCGTTTCACCGCTAGCTTAAGGCTGTCCTAATTGATTTTGAGGAGCTCGACATCGCTATTGGAGTTTTAGTTTGAGCTTGATCGGATTCTTGGTGTGGTGTCAACTTACAAGATCAAGGTAGCGTTGGCGGGAATGACGGGGGGAAAACCATTCGCGCCGTAGCCATAGTCACTAACACAGATGTAAGTAAATACTTTAACATCAAATGCGGATCGGAAAATAGCGCACGGAGTAATGGTGAGTGTGGCCCTTTCTCCCAGACTCATTCGAGGCACGGCCTCATCCCATCCTTTGATAACTCTCCCTATACCTATTTTGGTGACAAAGGGGTCATTACGATCCCTAGACGAGTCGAACCTGCTCATGAACACAAGTTGTTAGATTCCATACTTTTTTGTAGGAGATATGGAAAAGGATTCACTCACTTAGAACTATCCTGTAGGGTTCCGACGTAGTGGATGGTGACCGTATCACCAGCCTTGGGGAAGGTGATGCCGTCGCCTTGCTTGATAACGGTCTTGGTAACGCCCATGGTGTTTTTTTCGTTTATGGGGAAGTGTTTTTATTGATTCGGAGTTGGTGGTTGGATATGGTTGCTGAGAGATCTGGGTTTGGGGGGGAGGGAGGAGGGAGGGAGAAAAGCAGAAGAAAAAGGACAAAGAAAGAATAATGAGGGTTTACGGCCCAATACCGTATGTGGTGGATGATAGCCGGAAGTGGGGCAGAATGGTATGATACGATGACAATGATCTAAGCATGGCTTCAAACCCCGCTATCTCATGCTTGGCGGGCAGAAGGAAATCCATTGACCCATACTTGACATAAATGTGTCTTGTTGACCTCTACGCTGAGTGACAGCGTATGATGCACTGGCTGCCTTTCATTATATGGATCGTGTATTTGCCCATTTAAACAAACATTTGGGAATTTTACTCGAGCGATTTTAGTTGGAATTGTGTAAAGTACATTGAAATATTGTGTTATCAGTGAAAATATAAAGGTGACTGAGGATGTGCTTATACAAATATAGAATCCCTACCCCACCCCGCGCCGATAGGAGGGCAGAAAGTACTGGTGCTACTGCGCAACAAGCATGTGTTGCACTGCCTTGTAATACCTGTTACCCACTACTTCTCTCAGCTCATCCTTTGCCAGCCACTGAAAATCTTCGAGATCTTGTCTGTTGTTTGAGAGATCTGCCTGTCCAGCCAAGATCCTTGCCTTGATGAAGAAAACTTTTTTGCCCACTTGGTTTTGCGCGTGGCCGGAAGGGTACTTGTACTTGTAGAGACCTATGGGAGCGCTGCCGACGAACCATGTATTCATGTTCGGACCAGCTGCTTCAAGAAGCGTCCGTTGGGCACCCTGTTGTAACGAAGGTTAGTGGAGCAGCCAAGCGTTTCAAACTCTGGCAGACAAACCCAACGTAGATGCTCCCATTTAC